AGAGAGGAGAGCATGGTACAAGCAGTCAGAGATCAGTGATTGCTGAGTGTTTGTAGATAATTGAGGACATGGGGTGTTAACTATATCCTCAATTATGAATGAATGTGAAGTGATCTACATCACCTTCTGTTCATTCATGATTGTGGTTATAGTAAACATACTCTGTCCCTGTGACTGTCCTCGTGTTATCAATGAACAGAAACACTCAGTATAGAGGATTCCTGTTCATTGATAACAGGGGACACAGAAAAAGAGAGAGAGGACTTTGTGTCCTAAATCTCTTTTTCTATTTTAAAAGGGAAATATCAGGGATCTGTTTAGATCCCCAATACTTCCCGAAACCTCTAAAAGTAAAAAATAAAAATATTTAATAAAAAATAAATACAATATAAAAAATTAAAAAGTTTTAAAAAAATAAATAAAAATAAAATTTGAAAAATTTGAAAAAATTACAATAAAAAACATTTTCGGTTTGGGCCTGACAATTCTTTTTATTTCAGTTTCGTTTCGGTTTTAAAATTTCCATTTTGGTGCACCTCTAATTAGAAGTGTTCCACACAAAGTGATGTTAGATAGAAAAATACTGCTCTAGGAATCAAACAACACTCTAAAAGCAGCTGTGCTTAATAGGTGAGTACGCCCAAAATAGGGAAAAACGGAAAATAGCACTGCGCTTCACAAACAAAAAATATATTCCTAAAATGGGAGAAAAATGCTATAAATTGTGAAATGATCACAAAGTGATAAAACTATTTTGTGTTATCCCCAACACCTGTGTTGCACAATGCCTGTGGTAATAATACTTCAGAAAAAACTCTTGGTCTAATGGCCTAGAGACACTATAAGCCATAATAAACATTGGGGGGAAAAAATGTTAATAACAAATAAACATATACTTGTGCTAGTACATGTCATAGAATGTGTACATATAGAAAGTCCTGTATTAAATCTCACAAGTAGGGTTGCCACCTGTCCAGGATTCACCCGGACAGTTCGGGTTTTTTACTCACCCCCCCCCCCCCACTGAAAATAGTCTCAACTGTGATATTTACATATTAATGGGTGGTGCTCATTACATATGAATAAGCCACGACTCATTCTCCCCCCAAAAATATGTCCGTGTGTCGCTAGAGTGTTCGGGTTTAGCTTGAAGAAAAGGTGGCAACCCTACTCACAAGTGATGTACAACTCCCACGTAATCTACATATCCATATGTGAAGTCCATTACTTCATAATACAATAAAGTCCTTAAAAAATGTGAAGATATATCTTCCAACTTTTATAATCCACACCACCTCCGTGAATGCATAAACAATTAGTGAATCAGTGCTCTCCACCGTACTCAAAGATAAGATCTGGCCGCACTCACCGACTCCTATTGCTCACCATATTTCAGGTGAACAATTAGCGCTTTGCTGATATAAAATAGAACCAAATCCTCTCCTTCGTTTTTTGACACAACAATAAATTGGGGTATATTCCTCCCACCCACCAATGATCACTGTATCAATTTGGATTTCCCATCTATTTTCCTTTTGGTAAGGGCTCCTAGGATAAAAAGAGCAAATCTCCCCAGCAGGACATGAGGAGCAATTAAAACCTTGCATGAGTTCTAACCCTTCCTCTCTGGACCTAAAACAAAGACACTTTGGCATAGGCCTCTGGCATATGATTATTAAAAGATAGCCGCCATCTAGTGTTTCATTTAGAGATTGCAGCAGAGTATTTTTTTATTTTTTTTTACATGAATGCAACTCAGAATGCAACTCAAACCTTTCTGGAATGGGAAAGAGACGATTTTAAAAATCAACAACTTTTGGACAAAAGATACTCAATTGGACCTCATTTTGGAGAAGATCAGCTGGTGCTTAGCATGCATCCTGCTGTGCTGCAGACCAGATCTGAGATCTGGATCCCATTAGGTCGCACAATGAGCAATGGTGGGTCACATAAACATTCCATAAAAGCAGAGGCGTAACTAGAACCTTCAGGGCCCCGGTGCAAGAAACCATGAAGGGCCCCCCCAACGGCCATGGCACTGCATGGTTAACAGGAAGGCTGCCGAGGTCCCCAGCAAGCGCAGGACCTCAGGCAGCTGCTTGTTTAAATTTTTAGTGCCGGTGTTTTGTCGAATCGCCGACCCAGTATCTGCGCTTATGTACAGGCAGGATTACCGAGGAAACCGGCATTTATTTACAAAGTATTCGTGTGTAATGGTTAATTGTGACCGTTAATAATATGGCATCCATGGCAGTAAATGATGGACGGCATATTATTATCGGTCACAAATAATGATTTAAACAAAATACTTTGTAAATAAATCCCTGTTTCCTCGATAATACTGGTCTGTGTGCAAGCGCAGATGCTGAGGTCGGCAAATTCGACTACGTCGACAGAACACCGGTATCTGCGTTTAGTATCGGGGCATTTTCACGAGTACTCGTAAAATGCCCAGTATTGGCACTGGTGCATCCCTACATCAAAATATAATGCATTGCTGGGACTTGTAGTCCTACATAGTTGGCGCTATTCTGCATTGCTCTATAACCATCATACAGCAATGCAAAATACCACCAGCTATGCAGGACTACAAGTCCCAGCAATACATTATAATAAAAGTCAGCTATGCAGAATACCACCAGCATCCCCCCACTATAATGCATTGCTGGGAGTTGTAGTCCTACATAGTTGGCGCTATTCTGCATTGCTGTATAACCATCATACAGCAATGCAGAATACCACCAGCTATGCGGGACTACAAGTCCCAGCAATACATTATAATAAAAGTCAGCTATGCAGAATACCACCACTGTATTATCCCGTTTGCAATTTACTGTCCTACATAGTTTTGTATGGTCCGCAAAAACCGAAATCAAACTTTTTAGTCCAATCTCTGTGTCGTAGATGAATAAGATGAACAGGATCGGTCCCAGGACTGAACCCCCGGGGCAAAGCCAGTTACAACCTTTGCCCCATTAGAAAATTACCCATTTATTACTACCCTCTGAATCCATTCATGTAGCCAATTTTCCACCCATGTACATACAATTTCATCCAACCCGATAGACCTTAGTTTATGAATTGTCTGTGGGGTACTATGTCGAATGCTTTAGCAAAGTCCAGATAAACCATGGCCACAGGTATTCCTCTGTCTAGGTTAATGCCGACGTCCTGATAGAATGTTAATAGATTGGTCTGGCAAGAACGGTCCTTCATGAAACCATGTTGGTTACCACATATGATTCCAGTTTTATTTGCATATTCATGCATGTATTCTCTTATCATGCCTTCGAATATTTTACACACTATTGACATTTTTGTATATTGGTACCACATTTGCTTTCTGCCAATCAGCTGGGACCATACCTATCATTAGCCCTAATTCACACTAGAAATGGCCGGCACGTACAGCTCCGTACTGCATGCACAACCGCATCGGGCAGCTCCCGGGAAGGACAGGTGCTGCGTGTGATTAGAACGCAGACCCCGTCCTTCTCTATGGGACTACGTGGCCGTACTCCGCCCTACGCTCACCCGCCCTGCATGTCCGTGCAGGTGAGCGTACTCGTACGCTGACAGGATGGATCACATCCTGTCAGGAAGTATTGTAATTTCTTGCTCATCCTCTCTGATGCTGCCCTGGAAGATGATTTGGGAAAAAACAAGTTAGGTACCCGGTAACGTCTTTTCCAGGAATCTTCCAGGGCAGCAGGGATTACCGCCCTGCTTGTTGAAGGGTGTGTTATTGTCAATATCTGGTGGACCTTACGCCTTCGGTTCTTCTATAAAACTGACGTGGTTGGGCGACAGCGCCCCTTTTATTTTAATTGTGGATGATGCGTTTCCTGTTTTAGGTGGGTAGATCCTCTCTCTCTGATGCTGCCCTGGAAGATTCCTGGAAAAGAAGTTACCAGGTACCTAACTTGCTTTTTCCCTTGCAGGTGTTTCCACCAATTGTCCCATAAAATTATCCTGGAGAGTGTTCAAAAAGTGACAAGCCATTCTTGAATTTGAAGTTTTAATGCATCCAATCTATTTCAGGATAATCCCACATTAATATGACATTACCTTGCCTTCCCACTACTTCTATCTGTGGTAATAGACGAGTCTCCTCCTCCGCGTTTGGAGGCCTGCAGCATATTCCCACCAGTAATTTCCATATCTTTTCCTTCATTTCCATTTCTATCCATAGTAACTCAGCATTGACCCCAGTTTCCTAGATCATCCTGCATATTCGCTGTTGGGTCATTCCTGACATACAGGCATACTCCTCCCCCTCTTCTTCCTTCCCTATCCCTGCTTAATAGAGAATATCCATTGATAGTTGCTGCCCAGTCATGTGGGCCATCAAGCCAGATTTCTGATATTCCCACTAGATCATATTCCTCTCTGAGTAGTAGGAGTTCTAATTCCTCCTTTTTGTTTTCCGGGCTTCTAGCATTGGTGAACATATGTTTTCGCTTGTGCTTACAATTTTTTTTGTTTCCCAACAGAGGTTCTGATCCTTCCCCATTCTATCCAAAACTAATAACAAAAACAAAAATATTGGGGCTAGCATTGGACTTCACAGAACTAAACCTTGACTGCATGTCACCTCCTTTCAGTTCCCCGTGCTGCTATAAAATGTAACCTATCGCTGCTCCAACTTTGCTCTAGGTGCGGTTACAGACCTCTAGACTTTTTTTTTTTCATACACAGGACTCACAGTTGGTTGATGTGTCATAATATACTTAACATAAAAAAAACATAAAAATATAGAAAGAAATAAAAAAAGAAAAGGTATATTTTTATTTAAATGTTTTCTGTACATATACACATTTCTGTATTGCCCGATCAGCACAATCATGTCCAGGTGATGTCTTATAAAGTGCGGGGACAGCCAATACACCTGATGGGTGTTAGATGGATTAGGTTCAGCTGGTGAGTCTGTTTTTGAAGGGTTACTGCTGGAAGTAAGGCAGATCTCAGGTGTGTGGGCCTCCTGGACTTACACATAATTCCATTCCCCTCTCATAAAAAGATTGCGACCACTACATATATAATCCAGCTGACCGAAACAAAGACTCCAAAGAGAAGACTGAAGAGCACAAGGGATCTGGCCTTGCTGGAGGCTTCCTGGGCCTGCAGGATGTCCCCTCTGCTCAGAGCGGTTCGGGTCTGATGGGAACAAAACAAGACATGGTTAGTACCTCTAAGCTTCATTGTGCTTCCTAGAAATCGAAGACGTTTACAGTTTTGTCTGTGTAATTAGAGTAGATAATCATGCTTGGCATCCAAGATTTGTCTAGCACTGCTTATATAGAGAGACCTTTATAAAAGCTACAAAATATTTTTAGAAAATTTGAGAAAATGTTAGGTCAAGGGGTCCAATTTTAATGGCGGAGGGAGCACAGACCTCGGCTAATTTAATAATTGTTTACTCATGAAAAGCTCATAAGCACTTGATGCAAACTGTTTCCTGAAATGGGATATTGTTGTGCTATGTTGTACATAACCCGAGAAAGGTGTTATGTAATATATATTTTCTCTTTTGATTTTAATTTTATCGTTCTAAAAGATTTTATAAATATATTTAAAAATTAAAAGAGAACTATGGGGTAACCTTTCCCCCTTAGTACTCTATTGTGTCACAGGAGGATATATAACAACGTCCTCCAGTGAACCAAAACTCAGTATATAGCGAGCTATTGCACGCTATATACTGAAAGCACCGCAGCTGGGATGGATCCCGACAATACTGTCAAGATCCACCCCGCTGGCTGATAGGCAGAGCCAGCTGTCAATATAGAGGCAGAGCCAGCTGTGCCTGACCTCTCCACCGTCCGTTCCTCCAATCAGCACTGGAGGATCGGAGAGGGGGGGGGGAAATTCCTGCATGGAGCGGTGACTGTTAGTCACCGCTCCCTGCAGGGAGATAATCAGGAAGTCAGCGATCAGCGGTATGTGTGCACTGACTTCACGATCAATAGAGCCAACATGTGACAGCTTCTTTGTCACAGGTCGACTTACAGTATGGGGATGAGTGTTTTTCACATTTTTTAATTTGTCATTTTAAAAAAACTGGTGTCATTTTTTCATTTGCTAGAGTTATAGGAGCAAAAGGAATGTCACACCAATAGGATGAAGTCCAAAAGCATTTATTTTATCATAAAAGTCAGAGCAAACAAGCCAAAGGGTTTCACGTGCTCTAGAATGCCCCCTTCATCAGGGCTGCTTGAAATGAGAGGGTGGACTCCAAAATTTGCTCTTAAATTGCTGTAACAACCAGTTGCTGAAGTGTGCTTTACATCAAAAATAATTTACTCCTAAACCCATTTACTCTTTACAGTCAATCCCCTCATCACAACCAGCACTTTAAAGGAGAACTATGGGGTTAGGGCTTTTCCCCATAGTTCTCCTTAGGGTAACAGGAGGACACAAACTAGCGTCTTCCTGTCACCCAAAGCTCAGTATACTGAGACGCCGCAGCTGATACGGATCCCGACAATTATGTCTGGATCCACCTACCTGCGTGAGTGACAGCTGGCTCTGCCTATCTAGAGGCAGAGCCAGCTGTACCCACCACCTCCCCCGTCCATTCCGGGAGGGGGGGAATCCAGTCACTCCCCTGTCACGGTGCTCGGCTGTGACAGGATCGAGAAGTGTGCGAGCGCCGGAATGTGTTCGCTCACTTCACGATCTACTGAGCCGACCTGTGACAGTCTCATTGTCACAGGTCGGCTAGAACTATGAGGCGAGTGAAAAGCACTCACCTCATAGTTCTCCTTTAAGCCCTGATGAAGGGGGACACACTAGAGACCATGAAACTTTTTGGTCTGTTTGTTTAGGTTAAAAGAAATTTAAAAAAAACTGGTGGAGTTTCTATTTCTCTTATTGATTCTGGATTTTGTTTTACAAGTGCCAGTTTTCCCCATTTCACTCCTGCTGCCAAATGCTTTGGAAAAAAAATATTTTTTTGGTTATTTTTCAGCCTCTTATAATCTTTCTCCTCTTTCTGAAGTTGGGAGAAAAATAAGAAAAAAGAATCTACTGCATTCATCTTTACCCACCAACTGAAATCGTGAATCCAGATTACTGGGAGACAAAGAAGAAACATTTAAATGTATCAACTCTTTAGTCTGCCCCATGGCAGCCAGGCTCCATCCAATAAAGTCCCACATATTGCTTGTTTAATCAAACCTGGGACAGGCAGGGCCGGTGCTGCCACTAGGCAAACTAGGGTGCACTGCTGTCTAGGGCGTAGCCTCGATCACTCACCCCCACATGGCAGCCCAGGCTATTTCAAATTGCAAAAGCCAATAGCAGGCTGGCTATTGCACCCACCCACTAAACAGAGGAGCGGAACTGAGAGGAAACTTTCTCTTAGGTCCGCTCCTCTGCTTAGTGGGTGGGGTTTTCAATAGCCAGTCGGCTATTGGCTATTTTAAATTAAATTACATCCACCTGTCGCCTGCGGAAGCTAGCCGGCAGGAGAATGGGGCTGAGCGCGGGGGGTGCAAGTAGCTGGTCTTGCCTAGGACGCAAAATAGTCTAGCACTGGCCCTGGGGACAGGTAACCTTCTCATGGACATAGTAAGCTTTTCATTCACAATATACTGTGACCATAATATGAAGTATTTTGGGGAAGAACGTCCACCAGTCACATGAATAATTTTGTATCATTTCACTGGTGTCACAACCTAGGAAGTGGATTGATGATGCGCAATACTGAAAGCAGCCCCTGAGGTTCCCCATAAAACATGTCTAGGTACCCCACAGGATATGCATATCTCAGGATAAGAACCACAGTTCTAACCCTTGTCTATTCATAACAAAAGCAAAAGGTTCGGGGAGGAGTTCTACTTTAAATGATACAGAACTAGCATGCTGGCTTTTTTCTGAGCTCTTTCCAGCTGTTACCTACACTCTGCCCCAGATCTATGTCTCACCTCATGAGAGTAGACCACGGCAATGATGCCTGTTAGGAAGCAGCAGAAGAACATGACCAGCACAGACTCCACCATGTAATCTTTGGTCCTCACTTCCGGCTGGGGAGGTGGCGGTGGCATGCCCATAGAACCATCATTCTGCAAAGAACATAGTATCAGTCAATGGAGTATAATTAAACAATGAGCCTGCCATAGAGTTTATCCTGGTGGAATTAGAGAACTGTATGACTATTAGCAATGCTCATGCTGTTTACAGCGCATCAAGTTGTTTTGAACTTTATTGAAATGTCCCAAAGTTGACATTTCATTAATTTCTATGTCTATTCACTGCAGTGTGTTACGACACATACCACTGCAGCACCGTGGTGTGAATTGACATCATAGGACACAAGGCACATTGTCTTGTCTATGCGTTGGGCAGGACTGCCCAGCACTGCCCAGAGCATCTGGTGTGAACAGATGCATTGGGCAAGCAGTCCACCAACAATAACACTACCAGGAGGGTTTACAAGTCACTTGTTATACACATAGTTTAGCTCTAGACAACATTTATTTTGCAGTTGTGGATAGCTTCAGGAACAGATCAAACCCATCAAGTTTATTTTTTATTTTTATTGCTGTATGTGTCCCTGCTCTCTTTATCTGTCCTGATTTCATACCACAAAGTGTGATTGCAAATCCAAACTGTTATGGTCACAGCAAACTGGTGACAGCTGTCTTAGAGGGGATTTGTCTTCTTTTTTTTTTAGTTATTTCCTCTACTTCCTGTTGTGTCTCTAGGACAGGCAGTGAAGTGAGATCTCTCTAATAGGACACAAATAGCAAAAAACAAAACCCTGACAAGTACTTTAAAGAGGAGCTCGAAGAAAATCGAAAACTTACCCTTGCAGTAGGGCTACCCCTGTACAGCAAGGGTTGGGTGCTTGTTTTGTCTAGGGGGCTCAAATAAAGCAGAGTTACTAACCCGATCCCCTGTTCTGCAAGCTCCCTCTGGGCTGCTAGAGACTAAGGAGCAGGTGAGTATTTCTGCTTTATTTGAGCCCCGTAGACAAAACAAGCACGTAACTCTTGTAGTATGGGGGTAGCCCCACTGCAAGGGTATGTTTTTGATTATCCCCGAGTTATACTTTAACCACTTCCCACTCATTGCAAAATTTAAAAGAAAGGTTTGGTACCTTCCTCCCTCCTTCAATGTGGATTCCTTGATCCTATAATGATTTACTACTCCAACTTTGCCCCCTTCCCCCTGTACTGTACCCCCCTCCCCCCAAGAACCAGACAACTCAAACTAGTTTCCTGCACCTTAGACACAATATCCATGCATATAATTACACTGATTACTTGATGTTTCTTGGACTTTAAGGGTCTATAGTTTTACAATAACTTTCTTTTACTGTGCATAATACATGTAATGTTTCCTAAGACCAACATTGCCTATGTACATGTGCTTACTTGTTAATGCACCTACATCTAATAAAAACCATTTTGAACGGAAAAGAAAGGTTTGGCATTACATATACTTTAACCCCACGCAATTAACAGAATGCAATATTTTTCTGTCACCTTTTAAATGAAACCGGATGTCTAAATTGAATCATGCTGTGGCTTGGTTGATGGCTATATACAGTATGTTGTTATATTCTCTAACAAACCTGGAGTTTTTTTGTTTCATAGTTCTTATTTTAGTCCAATTGAAAACAGATATTTCATTTTTCTTTGGCACTACTGGGTTAAACTACCCTTCGATTTTTTTATTTCTTGGTGAGGGAGGCAGCAGTATCTCCCCACCAAAACTAATACAGACAACGCCACAGATAATGCAGCAGACACTGCTGAGCTCAGCATGGTTCACCAGCTTACGGCCTCTCAGAGACTCTCCAGTGCTGCTTCATTTAGACATGAATAATTCACAGCCTTTCTGGAAGAAAGAGCTGCAACAACAGTCTTCCAAATATCTCATTTCCTTGTCATTCCCCACAGGACATGTAGAGGACAAACTCCACCATGACGCAGCAGAATTAGGAAAGTATGAGCAAAGAGCTGAGTGGAAACTGTTTTATGAAATTAGATGATTCCAATGATCCGCATCACAAAGCTGCAGTTACGAAGTTATATTGCACTCACTCTCATTCATCTTGTTATCATTTATGTATCCCAACATATAATTCATAAATATAGATCTTGCATTGATATGAAATCTTGAATTTTCTGAATGAAATTAACATTTAGACTTGAATTCCAGCAGATATCAAATACACAGATCAGTGCAGTTCTGTATTCATTAATACGTTTATTTTTTTTTTTTAAATGCAGCTGTGGCATGTACCTCAGTTTGGCTTGGTATTAGCCTCTTGCAACCCCCTATAGAGCAGCACTTGGAGAGGGAAGGACAGGATTGAAAGCCTTTTAGATGTGCTGCATGCAAATGTGCTGATAAAAAAAAATGCTGATAGGAAGCAAGAGCAGAGTGAGTAGAGGGATGACCTTATCAGTCTGCTGCCCTTTCACTGTCAAGTGCAGAAAAACATATTGTTTTCAAGGCACTCAAAAAAGCAATTACTAGCGCCTCACTCCCGCAGTAATCGTAATGGCATAACATAGGAGTCAAAATAAAAAAATA